CCCACCCACAAACCCGTCCCCCCAAAACACGCGCCGGCGCACCCCACACGCCGACCATTTCGCCCCCCCTCTGCGTTTGAACGTCGCCTGTATCTCTCCCTCCGTGTCTCCGCGCTCTCTCCCATTCAGTCTCTGGGTGTGTGTGTGTGTGTGTGTCCGCAGGAGGGGGGGGGGGTCAAGGGGGTCGGGGGCGGTTGCAGTGAGGACAAGGAGGGCAAGTACATGTGCGTGCGTATGGTGTGCAGTGTTTACCTCTCGCAAGCACTGCGTCACATCCGCCATCCCCTTTGTTGTTTGTTTGTGTTTCCAGCCATGGCATGCATGACGAATGACTCGTGCAAGTTTACTGTTGTTGTTGTTGCTGCTTGCTTGCCTGCTGTTCGAGCAACAAGAAACACACACACACACACACAGACACTCACATCACCCCCTCTTTCTTCCACTCCTTCCCTTGCTTGGCCACAGCTACTCTGTCGTAGCAGCAGCAGCAGCAGCAGCAGCAGCAGCAACGTTGTTGTTGTCGTCGTCTCCCTGGAACACGCGTGCCCCCGTCTCCTTCACCGCCTCCGCCATGTGTGCCGGAATCAGCAGCCCCGTGCTCGCGGCCTGGCGCGTGGTGTGTGTGTGTGTGTGTGTGTGTGTGTGTGTGTGTGTGTGTGGGGTGTGTGTGTGTGTGTGTGTGTGTGTGTGTATGTGTGTGTGTGTGTGTGTATGTGTGTGTGAGCTCACTCGTCGCAATGTGTGCATGCTGCTGTAAGGATGCTTGCCTGCAAGCAAACAAGCAACAGACGACAAACACACAGCGCTGTGCACACTCCCGAACCTGGACTGTCGCTGGCGCAAGATGTGTCTCCACAGCATTGAGAATGTCCTCCTTTGTCGCGTCCAGCACAGCGTGCCGCCTGATGGACAGGTGCGGAGAGGAGAGAGGGAAAGAATGGCGGGGAGGGCGAGAATGAAGAGAATCACGTTGGGGTAAGAAAAGAATAAGACTGAGAAACCACCACACACACACACACACACACACACACACACACACAAGGACACACCACACACAAAGACACACCCACACACACCACTGACATGCACCCGTGTCCCCTCCTCCCTCCGCTAGAGCGCACCTCTTCTCGCGTGCCTCGACGGGGA